TTTGACTTTACTTGAAATAATTGAGTTCAATGCCATATTTGTATCCCTCGTCTGACACCATGACCCAAGCTTACCAGGGACAGATTCCCTGGTAAGCAACCGTGGCTCTGTGGGTGGAGTAGTCATCTTGTGATTGGAACGTTGTAGGTTCAATTCCAGCTTCCTCATGTTGATGTGCCCCTGGGCACTTAACCCCAAATTGCCTACCAATCTGCATATCGGTGTATAAATGTGTTTGAGTGCGAATGGGTGAATGTGATTCTAGTGTAAAGCGCTTTGAGTGGAAAAGTGCTATATAAGTTCAGTCCATTTACCATTTTTTGAAGTAAACTAAATGATTTAAGTAAGACTGACTTATATCTGTTATCTTAAACATACTTAATCAATTTGTTAAAAAAAACATTTACAAATTGAGTTGGATGATTATAATATATTGAATTGGTTAAACTTAATAAATTAAGTTGGATAAACTGCTTGTTACCCATAGAAGCAATTCAATTAAGTTGGTTCAACTATTTTCTTTTTAGAGTGTAGAAGACACATCCTTTGTTATAAGAGTTTCTCACTCTGTCTTTACACCAGAAACTAATAGCATGTTTTCAATTGTGGAAAAAGAAAAACACAGCTCTGTTCCAGCAGAGCCAGTGGATTTCAAACATTTGCATCACTGTTTGCGCATCGTATTGACAGTAATGTTTGAATGGCATCCACAACAAGGTTTTTTTTTTTTTTTTTTCCATCCTGACTTGCATGCGTGCAAAGGTTTATGCATTCATGAGACATTACTGACTATGGCAAAACACGCAGATGTGTTAAAGTCTTAGTTTACCAAAAATAACGTGTTTCATGGTTGAAGTGGAAATTTCCAATCTGAAGTCAAGACCTCAGTGTGTCTGCTGCATGCTGAAAGTTTGTAGGACATTCAATCAGTTTATGACCACTGGATTAAAAAACTGGCAATGACCAAAATAAATAAGTGTTTTAATGGCCAGTTCGTTATGAGCGGCAGAATTTATTCCAAAGCTCTACGTCAGTAAACGTGAGTACACTGGAGTATCAGGGGTTGCTCCTGCTAAATCACACAGTTTTCGGATCTCCATCACACGGCGTACTGTTCCTCACACACAAGCTGCCACTGTTTTCTCATTGCCCAGTTCTGTTACCATGGTAGCTAAAAGGAAGTAAGTAGTGTCAATGGCACTGTGTTACAGTTGTCCCAATTGTGACTGATCAAAGTGCTAGAAATCCTAAATGAATCTATATCCACATGAGGTGCAACACTTTTGTGTAAATGTGCAATTAATTCAATATTTAGCAATTCCATGTAACAGCTCAGTGCTTACAGCCATGTTTGGGCAAAGGAGGGGAAGCAGCATCAGTGAAGCCAAACTAAAGGACAGGCTGTAATAGAGCACATATGTCAGTAGGGCTTATTCAATGGTAATTGCCTTCAAAATGTAAAAAAAAAAAAAAAAAAATGCACATTTACAGATGGACGACATAACAATAAATGTAATGGATGAGCATTAATATTACTACCAGAAAAAACAACTTGATCGTCATGTGTAAAATTTCATCAGGGAAGTCAACGGCTGAATGCACAACTTCCTGTTTATTTTCAAGCAGTAGAATGAAATGGACTGAAGCAGGTGTGTTTTGACTTACAAGAATTTCATGAACAAATGGACGAATAACTTACTCGTTAGAGAAACTGAGTATTACCTCCCTGATTCTATGAGGGAATTAGTAGCCAGGTGCCATTTGATTCATTTGTCATCAGTAGCTGTGAAAACCTTTATAAAAACAGACTACTTGTCATTTTGTTGGTCAGGCACGTGCACGTTTGTGTGAAGACAATTCAAAAAAGAGAAAAGCATCGTAGCAATGTGAACCTGAGAAAGCTTTGTAAGGCAGTTCCAAAAAAGCTTGAAGTACTATCATGCCGATACTCCAAAGAGTGAACAGCTCAATGAATTCACCCAAAGGTGGGAGTGTCGATTGTTGAGAGAAACTACCAAAACCCCATCACTCTATCTCTAATGCCGCAGACATAAATTAGCATGCTCAGTGTGTGCTAGCATTCAGGAAGCGGTGAGTGCTGCGGCCACTTCCAAACCCAAACTCATTCTTAGGTTATGTAACAGCAGAGCTTAGCAAGCAGTCATGCAACCTCACACATGCTAAAAAGAATTTTAGCCCGTCTCGTCAGAAGGAACTGTTTCAGCAACATACATTTCTAAGTGTTTGTGCTCTGAGTAGTTTCTAAAATTGTGGGCTGAATAAACTGAGTTTCTAAAATTTGAAAGTTGTTTGTTTTATCTCTTTACTGTAAAGATTTTTAGTTAATAGCGGTGTGACAGGCTGCCACAAGCAAACATAGAATTGGTTGTCGTTCAGGTAAATCCATTGATCAACCCTAACATCTCAGTGCATCAGTGGAAGTTATTTCCTCATTACATAGACTTATTGTCCACTTTATAAGAAACGCATGCTCAATTTCTTTTCAACAAAAGAGTGAATCAGCAAATCACTTAACTCATCTAGACATCTAAAGATGTTATCAAGATACTGCAGGACAAACTAAGCAACTAAACATAAAGGAATGTTGTGTGCAAAAAAGCTTTAGCCTGTCTCTGAAGCTACTCCAACCTAAAATACAATCTCACTGCAATACATGTTGCAGCACAGAAGTCAATAAATCAAGCTGATATGTACATCGCATTTCAGCAGCATGGCACTTCAAAGTGCTTGAAAACACACTAATGAAAACACAAAAATAAAAAAAAAATCATAAAAACAGCATCCAGTCACCAGAAACCTGTAACAGACGTTACATTTTGTTGAGTGCCACCATCAAAATCATTAAGAAACATCATATGTTGGTCAATGTTCTATTAATTCAGAATCAAGAGCAACTACAAGCAGGTGAGTTTTTAAAAGTAGATTGAAAGGACCTCAGTGTTTCAGCTGTTTTGCAGTTTTCTGGAAGTTTGTTCCAGATTTGTGGTGCATAAAAGCACCCAATGCTGATGTTCCCAGTGCTAATGTCAACATTAACAGTCCACATTTCTAAAGAAGTAGTTTTTCAAAGGAGTTCCATGTTGGAAGTTACATGGGTTCCTGAAAGGGCTGGAAGGATTTTTGAATTGAAAATGTTGCTTATTTTGACACTATGTGGTTGTTGATTAAATGTGGTTAATGGTTTTTAAGTACAGATCCTGCTATTAATTCAATGAAAAAATTTTATCAAGTCTCACCACTAGATATGTTTTATTGAAAATGTGGTTTAAAATGTGGCAGACGACTGGTTTTGATATAAAGAAGGGGGCCTGACCTGATGATTGTTCACATAGGGACTGGTTGGTTTGAGGATTTTTTTTCCCCATTATAAATGAAATCATAATTTTGTGCTTACTTGTTTAAAATGTAAAAATGGTCAATGATTTAAAATATAGAATCATGTCAAATAAAAGAAAAACAGAAAAACTCTAAAAAGTGGCAAATACTTTTCTAACAGTGCTGGTGTTGACGAAAATGGCTTTATTGGAGGCTGAGAAATTATTACTTGGTAGTTGACGGATGACATCCAGTAGCCAAAACTCAATGGGTTATGGGAGATGCAAAATGGTTTACAACCAGTCATCATCCTGCTCTAGCGGTCAGGAAAAAGTTTTAGAGGTCATTTTGCATTTAGTGTCAGCTCCAGAGAGATTTGTGGACATCCTGCAGCAGCATTTTTACAGTGGGAAAAGATAACTGAATACTTTTCATGTGAGAACATATTAGCTGCTAAACTAACTTTTTTTTATATTATTTCACTACTTTGCTGCAGTATTTGTACATGAGAGATAGATTATCACTGACCAAACACATAAAGTGGTTTCCATTTTCCAGATAACCTCTTTACTTTCTCAAACTAAATCACATGCACAGCAATCGGCTGTTTGATGCATTGTACTTAAATCCTTTCCAGGATAACGTCTGTATTTCTACAGGACAACACGTCGTTCATAATGTAAATTCCCAACACTGCGTTTCAGTTTTCGGTATCTGCTAAGGCACAAGCCAAAGTGTCTGGGACTGATCACAGCTGATCTGAAGACAACCTCAAACATCAGCGGTCAGCACCACAGATGCTAATATCAGTTATAGCTAACCTCATGCCAAGACACTGTCCAGTTCACTTCAAGTTCCCAGACAGCAAGTGGATTTCTGGCACTGACTCTGAGTCTCTTTACTTCTGTCAGCTCCCAGTTTGCTGAACTGCTAACAGGGTGAACTGATAAATATCTGAGCTCCTTCAAATAAAAACGAATCCGCTTCCTTTGGCAAACTCAATCTTTCGCAGAATGTTTGTCTAGATATTTATAAACTAAAGTTTCTTTGTTTGGAGGGATATCATTATTACAGATAAGGCTGTTTGTGCATTTTGTTGTATGCATGTTTTGTATTGCTCTGTTATTTTATGCTAGTGCTATTGTTCTCTGTTTTGTTGATGCTGTCCACGAGTATTTATTCTATTCTCACCGCAATTCAAAAGATTTCATTTTGTCCAGGCTAAACATTTTAGACATCAACTTGGTGGTTTCCAAATGAGACTGGTCACAATGTGACGTCCTGGCCGTCTCTCTTACTTCCTGTCCTTTTGCTCGGTCTCTGTTGCAATCACTCTGGTGTTTCCTCTTTCTTACAAAAGGCTGTGACCTCACATTGCATGTTTTTCTCGTTGTTTTCTTTTGCAAATTCTATCTTTTATGTGGGATAAATGAAGATTTAAGTTTCTTGCTGTATAAGTTGTTGTGAAGAACAGTCTTTCCATTTGCGTAATCATGAGATCAGAATTTAGTCTCATCTCATGAGCTGCTTAACATGCTGCACGAGATGGTTGGAAATTTGCCTATCACACTCTCTGTTGCTGTCATTTGCATCTGCGCAGCCAGACTAAAAATAATTCAAACACTGTATGCTTTCAGCCTCAGAGACTGCCGTTTGTTTGGTTAGACCAGCAAGGAGGAGAGACTGAAAAGCAACGGCAGACGGGAAAGAAGAAGAGCCAGCGAGACATAATAGGGAGTAAGGCATCAGGAGGAGGAAGGCATTCAGGCGCTGCAAGTGTTGTTTCGAACTGTGAAGTAGGAGGAGAAGCGCAGCAGGCGGGAGGAGGAGGAAGGGGTACTTCCTCTTTAGTCTGAGTAAAGCTGCTGAGGTATCCCAGCAGCCCCAGCCCGTGGCGACAGGAAACCTTCGTATAAAAAGCTGCATCGCAGGGGGAACCCTCCTGAGTACCTCTTAGACACAGCATGACCAGGACCAAGAGCCTGAGAGTGTGGACCTAACAAAACAATGCCCAGCATAAAAGCCGAACCACCCAGCACTCATCACTTCATCATGGACCGAGATGACAGGAACAGAAACAACACGCTGTGAGTACTTTTATACTGGGATGTGTTGTAGACATGCTGACTCGGTAGTTATTTAAGATATTTGTTAACCACCTGATTTATGTGAAAGATTTTGATTTGTTTTAACTCACGAATAACTTAACGTCGGACAAATATGGAATTTTAGAAAAAAGGGTAATGGTAATAAAATACATCCTTTTGGAGGAAAAAATTACATTGTGATCACATTTTGACTGTTAAGTTCTTCCTTTTGGTCTACTTACATTCTCGTCATGCTTTCACACACACTCACTGGAGTCTTATTTAAGGACAGCAAATCAATGAAGGATGAACTCATGTATTTCTTATTTCTACACAGTGGAAAGAACTTTATGTGTCGACTCCAGTGCATGTTCTCACAGACGCCTCAATGCTCAGAGAGGTGAGGAACCTTATGTACTGTTTTGCATACATTTCAGTTTTAAAATAGCCGGCCTGCTACAACCATCTCCATCTATGGCATCGCGAAAGGATTCAAATGATCTAGAGACACAGTGTTTGCTTTGGAACGATACATGCTACTGCCAGCTAATCCCAGGGTTCAACATTTCTGTACGAACTTGATAAGCACATCTGCAAAAGGCCTTCCTGGCCTGAATGCCTCAGAGCCTTTTCTGTCCTTGTAGATTTACTTCACTCAAATTTGATTCTGGTTAAGTAATCCAACATGTTTTCTCTCCCAGCGGGCTAAGTTTAGAAGACACCCAACAATGGTCGCAATCTCTGGAAAGGCTTCTTGAATCTAAATGTAAGTTGTTTTCCTCTTGGGAATTAAAAATGCTGCTAAGACAGTAAATTAGGTTTAAGAAAATGAAAGTTTGCGTGCAATAACTGACTTACAGAACAGCTCAAAAGGGATGCTATATGTGCCTTAAACCTGGCTAAGCCTGCTGTTGTTTGTTCCTCCCTCAGATGGACTGGCCACCTTTCGTAACTTCCTCAAATCAGAATATAGTGATGAAAATATTGAATTTTGGCTCACTTGTGAGGACTACAAGAAGATCAAGTCTTCATTCAAATTGTCCTCAAGAGCTAAGAAGATTTATGAGCAGTTCATCAAAGCAGAATCACCTAAAGAGGTAAAGCAAGTTGCGAGATGTCTTTGCATTCAGACACACACACACATGCAGCTTCTGTTTTACATTTTAAGCTCTATGTGTTAGTGAAAGAAACAGCAGCTCAAATGTTGAATCTCCCATCTCTCGCTCTTGGCTCAAATCCCCCTCATACCTATCTGTGTGCCTCATTCCAGATCAACATTGACTATCACACTCGAGAGCAGATCAAAAGAAACGTCAAGACTCCCACCATGCACTGCTTTGACGAAGCTCAGAAGATAGTTTACGGGCTGATGGAAAGAGACTCGTACCCGCGGTTCCTCCGCTCGGACATTTATAGAACACTCCTGGAAAGCCTCGCTGCTGACGCCACGACGGGATGAAAGCACGGTCAGGAGGAGAGAGGAAGGAAGGAGAAGAAAACCCATAACTGGAATCTTTGATGCTCCTTCAGGAGGAGGAACTGACAACGAAAAGGAAGGAGGGTCATCCAGTGTGGCACTAGGACACAATCAGCGGCCCGCGTACGTCGGCGATTCCACTCCTGTTCGACACTAATAATGGAGCGGATCCCTACATTTAGCACCACACACCTGAAGACTTTTTTTTTTTAAGCAAATTTCCCCAATAATGACCCCGTAGACCACGTCACAGGATGAAGACTGTCCAGGACACCACAAATGCCTTTCACAGTAAACGAATTAGCAAGGCGACGGACTTCTGCGACGACAGCAAAGCCGCTGCATATGCAAAGAATGCACTAGATGCCTTCTGGCCTTCTTTGGAGAGGTGTTTCTTGTGCAGATACAAGATAAAAGATACAACAGTCACAACTGCTCAACTCCCACTCTCTCACTTGTGTGTGTTAGAGAGGGGGGAAAGAAAAGAGACACAAAGTGAAATAAAAAAAAAAGTAGAATTTTATGATGGCACTTAAATACCATTTACTCAGAATAAGCTGTAGCCAAAGAGCTGGTCAATTATAAATCAGAGCACTAAGAGAGACAGAAAATCCATCGCAGGCTGAGGATTTAATAATGATCTGTCCTTTTTTAGTGAGAACTATTTTAAAGCATCTTTATTTCTTTAATCTAAATTGGGTTAGAAATGCGTGTATATTTTTTATTCAAAGGTGGCCCACAGATAAGTTTTTATTTCTTTTTTCCCCCTTTCCTTTTAACTTCTTTAGCATTGATTATTGTCAGACTACCTTTTGCAAGTATTGTCTTTAAACTGATATGTACAAAGGAAACGAAATCATGCACATTTTCTAAACTTCTTTGTGGAATCTTGACAAATAGTTGCACTATTGAAACCAAGAACTTCCCATTTTGAGAACGCCTACGTCAAATTTAATTCGTCACTTGGTCAATGGCTTGCCGAAACTCAAACCGACATCTTACAGCACTGAAGCGTAATGAGTTTTGCATTTGATAATAATAGAATTAGGACTACTATTACACAGCTTGAAAATGTGGTTGAAACTATATATCCTGGGACTGGGCCTTGTTACTGATTGTCAAAGCATGAATACGAGTGAATAAATGCTTATTAGGAGTTTAATAGTTAAATTAACTTAAAATTTGATCATTGTATTATTTATTGCTTACTGTTCTGTCACAACTTGAGTGCAAAGTTTGTTGTAGAGTTGAAGTGCTTCTTTAACTGCTGGTGGATTTAAATGATATTAAATTATTTGAACCGCTTCAAAGAAAAAGAAGACTTTATTTTCCTCCTTCACATGGATTTAATCTCATCATCCTGAACTTTTTCAGTCATGTTCAAAGGAGACAGCACACTTTTGGAAAAAGGCTGATCTTAAAAGATTGCGCTATAAGCTGAAGTGATGTTGCCACATAACAGTCTGTGGTATTGCATCACACGACAATACGTCATAGAAGAATGAAAAAATAGTCAGCAGTTTTTATGAACGTGTGGTAAATGATTATGAGTGTCTTTAATTTGAAAATTTGATTCCTTTTTATGTTAAGTTTCAAACATTGTTTGTGTTGGAAATCATGAAAATGATCATCAGAAATCAAAAGAAGTAGTGGCAGTTTAAAAATCTTTCAAATGAGCACAGATATTACAGATTGGGTTTTGTTTGTTTGTTTTTTTTAATAAAAAATAATGATAAAGAACATTAACTTTTTGATTAGTCCAACAGGGTTAGTGTCCCCCTACTGCTTTGTGGTTTGAAGTCAGTGAAAAGCATTACTGGCACACAAGCGGCATGTGGGTTTTGACAAACCGGAAGGCTTGGACTTCCAGTTTCTTGAGAAATCAAGAGGTGAGAGAAATGAGATTTTCTCCATTTTATTTTGTGACATCCTTTTGTCTGCAGGGCCAAATGTGTCCAAATGCAACAGAGATTTGACCTTGGGTAAACAAACTGTTGCAAATTCAGCAAACTTTGTTATTCAGCTTGTAGTAGAAACAACAGATTTTACTATAACATTCCGAGTGTTGCAAGAATTTTCACGATTTGTTTTCACTGAATTTTATGTAACTTTTAAAGTAATACATAATTGTAAGGTTTCCAAGGAAAACCATAAATGATAAGACAATGTTTAAAAAAAACTACAATTTGCTCGGTTTTGCCCCAGGTAGTGAGCTTTTCCATAATCTGCTCTGTTCTTCGCTGTTATGTGAGGGACTTGATCACTCAGCAGGTGATCAACTCTCTGCTGATGTTTGCAGCAACACTCCACAATGGAGAACCTCAAGGTTCTGGTTCTGATAGACTCAAACCCAGATACCTAATTTTGTCTCGTAGAAATTCATTTCTTGCCCAAACATAGCAACATAGACTCAGATCAGTTGATTATTCCTCTATACATATAGACATAACTATATACTGGCCCTTTATTTATTTATTTATTTTTTAATGTGCAACCTTTCTAATTTAGCTCATGCAGCTAATGCATAGTTTATTTATTTCTTTAAGCCCAAAGGAAAAATAAAATTCACATCACCATCTAATATTATGCAGTTCTGGTGTTTTATACTGTCGACTCAAAACCGCAGCCCCATCAGCATTGCTAAATCATTCATGCTAAAATAACTCATAATTGCTCCTCCATACTGAACAGCTCTCTGGTAGCAGACAGCATGTCCACAGTCCACAGCTAAACTCTAATGTTGTTTGGAGTCTTCAGTGATGTAAATCACGAGCCGGTCAATGAATCCAGCCAGCTGTCCATCAAATAACTTTGGCGCCGTATCCGGCGCAGTCCTGCTAGTACTAACTCTGCAGCACCATGAAGACCAAGAAACATGGCAGACGGGTCTGTTACAAAGGACAATTAGGGTGGAAAGCAATGTTTCGCAACTTTAATCATCTCAGAGGGCAGCAAACAGTAGAAGGTCTGTCCTCTGGTTGGATGACAACCAGTTAAAATGATTTTGGCCTTCATAAATTATGCATCACTCCACAATTATATGGCATTTTGTGATGTTGTATCACGTAAACTATAATAAGTAATAAAATACATTAAATACATTGAAGTGACAAAATGTAAGCAGGTTCAAAGGTTGTGAATCATTCGCAGCGCACAGTAACCGCCTCTGAAGTTCCCATAAAGATATGATCATCTCTACAAACTGATAATGTGCCCAGATGACATTGAAGCACAACAGAAAAGGTTAAGATGACGTATATGAAGTTAGTGTAGAGGGTAAAAATGAGATGAAACTGATGAAGGAGAAAAGGAAGACACTGAGCCTATATTCAATCTGGACCAACTAATCTGTTTATTCTCTATGTGCAGAGACCTTAGATGCTCATGCTGTAAAGAAATAACATATTTTTATTAAAACCCTATGTGTTATGAAGCCAGATAGGCCATGGTTTGGAGATGTAATCAATCTATGTTATCAGTATGCAATGAAATATGTTGCAAATCCACATAATATAGAAATACAGTGAAACTGCATTAGATAATTCTAAATGTCACTATGCATTTTTTAGATATATCAAAATGCAAAGATAATGAAACAATCCAATCTATTTTCCAAAACATTTTACAGAACAGCAAAAAGAAGTTTCTACAGTGAATGGTAAAACCTGTCTGGCTGACTGTCTGGCTGTTCGACTGTCTGTCTGTCTGTCTATTGGGATGCAGAACATTCATGTAATAGCATAGATATAGCAATCAGATAAAGGCCTCAAGCTTTTTTTAAAACAAAACTTGTGTGTAAACAAGAGCTCTGACTTACTGTATTCTGTGTATTTTTACTGAAAACAAGTTTGTTTTTCATTCAGTGAAGTTACTCACGGTGGCGAGAGCATCTAGGATTTTTACTCAAGTAAGAGTACCGATACTTGTATGAGTAAAAGTTAAGGTTCAGTGCAGTAAAACTAGTTCAAAAAGTATTTTTTCTTCAAAAAGTTACTCAAGTAAATCATTAAATATAACGAGTTACTTCCCATCTCTGCAGACGACATGTGAATGCCTTGGGAGCATAGGGTGAGTGCAAAAATAAAGCTGTGAAAAATATATTTCTACTCACAATGAAGGATGATTTTAGTTAAAAAATATATTTATATTAAAAAACATTGAAGCTCTGGGTGAATTTTTGCTTATGGCAGTCACTCAAAACTTCTCAATGAGGCCAATTGTGAGCACAGAGAGCTCACAAAATAAGTTACATTTGATGAGATCTTGCATCTTGCGTGTAAACCCGATGCTGGAAGTTCAAGCAATTCAAAATATACCAGCAAAAGTGCATGTAAAAGTTTCTAGATCCACCACTGGCTCACAGAATGAAAAACAAGACAGTGAAGCTTTTTGTTGTTCTAAAGAGACTGCTGTGAAAGAATCCTAACATTGGAATATTGGAAAAAGTGATGAGACATTACCCACTTGACTTCTTTTTTTTTTTTTTTTTTTTTCTTTTAAAAGATAAATTGCAGGAGGTAATCATCCTGGTGCTGCCGACTCCCTCAAAAACTGTTTGACTCTGCAGTAGTTTGCTTTATGGGTTGTGAATTATTAAACTGATCCCCGTCTAACAGTCTCGTCTGTTTCATGTTCTTATTTTACAAGTAGACAAATCGATCTTTTGACTTCATACAGGTTTGTCATACTTCCAGTATCAGATCAAACTTTAAAGTAAAAGTGCTGCAAACGTTGCACATATTCCATTTTAAAAAGTAAAAGCTCTACAGTCTTCACTCTGTGTCACTTAAGGAGGCGTGGCCAAGATGGCCACAGATAAATGCCCCCCTGATGTGTCTTAATCTTTAGCATCTTTCACTGATAATCACGGTTTAAAGTAGCTGTCTGTAGAAGTGGGAGGTGCAAGTTTCCCTCTTCAATGCGCTCATTGTGCCTACCACCATGCACACTCACACTGTGCAAGTTGCAAGTTGCAACACTGAGCAATTTTGGCCTCATAATTGACTACATGACTGCATTTTTCCACAGAAACACCCAAAATATTTAGAAGGCTGAACGTCTTAAGACAGCTTTAACACTGATGCTGAAAGTTTGCGAAATGATTTTAAAAAATATTCATTTTCTGATTAAACATACCAGGAACATCCGTGTTTACATTCTGTGTCAATGGCAGATTTTTCCATCCAGGATTCAAGACAATTGTAAATGGAAAATGCAAATTTGTGTGCTTCCCACTCACAGTCATCATGCAAATATTGAGGATAAAGTACTTCAAAAAAATACGGGAAGAAAACAAAGTGGTGACAACAGGAGGGATGGAAAATATGGAAAATATTGCATGCTCATATGTATTCTACACATGCAGCCATGTTTATTTGCATCTGTGTTTTCATTCATTCAAATTGCCATCAGGTTTATTATTTATTTCCTGTTTTACAAGACTGAACTCCTCTTTACGGGTTATTTGAACTTTTTGCTTTGCAAGTTGCAAATGTGGCTGGAAAATGTGGACTCATTTTCATAGACTTTTTATTTGCACTTCTTGAAAATAAACAAGAAATGTGACATTTTTTTTTTTCCATCTGAACTTTACAAAGACCCGTCAGAGCCAGTTAAATATCTTATCTTCAGAAAGTTTTAAGGTAAAAATTAGGAAAAGTCAAAGCAGTGTAAGGCACGTAAATATTCCAAGCTGTGAATATCTCACAGGTTAGCTTTATATCTAAATATGAGAATGGAGAAAGTATGCTACAACTGTAACCTTACCAACTCATGGCTGCCAAGATAAACTGAAACACCAAGCAAGGAAAACATTGATGAGAGCAGCAGCCTGAGGCGTGGCGGTGGCGTACGGGTTGACACTTGCCGCATATTTTCCCCCTCTCTCATAACCTGCTTTCCTGTCTGACCACTGTAAAACAAAAGCCACTTGAGCTGGAGAAAATCTGATTAAAAAACAAAAAAACAAGAAGCAAATGAGAGAAGCAGCCAAAACACTAATGCTAACTGTGGAAGAGCTGCATAGTTTCATAAATCAAATGGGAGAATCTGGAGACATAACATTGCATTCACGTCATAACATAGATATAGCAATCGGAAAAAGGCTGCAATAACAACAAAGCTTGGGTGTAAACAAGAGCTCTGACTTACTGTATTCGGTGCATTTTTACACATTTGTTTTCCATTCAGTGAGAGCATCCAGGATTTTTACTCCAGTTAGAGTACCGATACTTGCATGAGTAAAAGTTAAGGTACAGTACGGTAAAACTAGTTCAAAAAGTATGTTTTCTTCAAAATGTTACTCAAGTAAATCAGTAAATATAACTAGTTACTTCCCACCTTTGCAGACGACATATGAATGCCTTGGCAGCTTAGAGTGAGTGCAAAAATAAAGCTGTGAAAAATATATTTCTACTTATGGAGACATAACAAGAATATATTAAGACCAGAATTTTACCAATTAAGTGGTTTGAAACATATTCAGATGGGAGGCATTGAGATGTTTGTCTTCAATTCAACCAAGATACAGGTACAAGCAGAGGTCAGAGTTGAAATTTAATGATGACACAGGAAGACCTGAGGAGTCTGGTATGAGGAGAACAGGACATGGAGCTGGCATGAGAGAAACAGAGGAATCCACCAAGGAGCTATAAAAAAAAACAAAAAAACAGGAGCTTAAATACTAAGGAAGGGGAGGAAAATGACAAAGAACCAGGTGAGCGGTAGGATGAGAGCAGGGAAACTGAAGGAGGGGGAATAATTTAAAAAAAGGAGCTGTATCAAGACTCAAATTTATATGTACAAAAAGGAAAAGTCTTGAAACTAACATAAGGAAATACATTAAAAGGCATAAAGAAAATAACACCTGGAATAAGTAAGAAACTAAACAAAAATTTAATATTTAATAAACTAATAAGACAATGAAAAGATCAATGAACAAACTTCACATGGCATGACCTAAATATCAATAATAGCCCAGAAATGTTCAGAAAGGAAATACACAAAAAAAAAACACAAACAACTTTAATAATAACAGACAAAACCATAGTTCTGACCTAAATTCAATTGAAAATATTTAGCAAAGCTTTAAAACTGAGACTTTAAAAGGAAGAATTTGCAAACATTTCAATCACTCTGCAGGCTGGTGAAGACATGCGCCAAAGGTCATGCAACTGTCTTTAGACAAAGAAGTTGTATCTGACTCTTGAAGGCTGACTGAAATTCCACATTGTTTTGAATTTTGTTTGCAAAACATAATTTCATAAATGTTTACATTTTGTTTTGCATTAACGTGATAATTAAGTACATCTATATATTCCTGTTAAATTGCATTGAAGTTTGCAGTTTCAACTGGATAGAATGCTTTTGCAATTGTAAGAAGTCTTTTTGCATTCGGGAACATATTTTATAAAAAGCCCCCCCTGACCTGCCCTATTTGCCCTATTTTCAGCTTGTAAAACAACAAGCTCTGAAATGCAAAAATTCATGACAGTGTTGACTCTCATTGCCTGACTCATTGTGAAATATTTTGCTTGTGGTTAATCTGCTTGTAGAGTCGCCTCATTCTGACAAACTG